AGCCGTGAGCCATAAAGTGGTCTTAGTCTGCCAACGCTTAAAGTACGTACCGATAAACTTATCCGGTTTCAGTGGAGCGGAAAAGCCACTTGCCGAAAAATTCCTACACATAATAGGTTTTTGGATTGCTGAATAAATAGGCAATTTTTCGACTAATTTAATCCATAGATAAATCACTTGCATGGCATTGACTGAATTAACCACATACCAATTCTCATCTAAACATGCACGTACTAAGCAAACAATAGGCACATTTACACATACTGCTAGTACAGCCAATGCGAAAATAAACAGGAGCGGGATAAACATGTTATACCCTCCAGTAGGCCAGGCAGAAGCCGCAATGGCGGTGGCGGCAGCAGCGTCAGCCTTCTTGTCGGCTTCAACTTTCTCGGCGATGGCACATTCGGCGTCGGTGGACATGGTGATGATGAGGGAGACGCGGACATAGAGGAAGTAGACGAACAGCGAGCAGTTGCGTAGTCACTTCCCAAAACCTATTCGCCCCTCTCCCGTACAAGATCTGGAGAGGCAGGGTTTCGGAGACCTGCTCTCCCGTCGACCGTGTACGCGGCGGGCGGGATGGAGTCACCGGCGGCAGCAGTAGCAAAGGAACGACAGTGGGCGTGCGCGTTGAGCAGATGCGATCTGATCGTGGCGGCTAGGGTTAGGAGGCATCACACACTTATATAGGCGCAGCCACGTGGAGAGACGTGGGCTTGACCAACGTCCAAGTCCGTGACAGCCCACGATCCGACATCTCAGATCGTGGCCCAGCTGTTAGAAACTCTCCATTAGTGACCTGGCAAAAATAAGCGCGTAAGTGTGAGTTCGGCTCGGCTCATTTCTGCAACGGGGCGGGGCGGGGCGGGGCGGGGCGTGGCGAGGAGGGCGGCGGAGGAGGAGTGCGCGAGGGCCTCTTCTCTTCTAGAGCTCCAATAGCATGTAGAAGAGAAACCCTTATAAGGAGGTCCAACTCCTCTCCAACTTCTGGGATGGGACTAAACTTCCCACTACACCTAGTGCCAATAAACCCACTTAGGGCCTTAGAGATTTTTCAGAAATTGCTATTTGGGCCTAAAGCCCATCCCAAATTTCAGCAGTTTAACCCCCAGATTTGTTTGACCTCTACACATTATTGAGTTTTGTGTGTTCGATCCCGTACATCATACATGGGGCATCTAAGATCACAAGGGAAGCTTGTTACATGTGACCTCTTATGTCCGCGGCGGCGATCTAGAACCGTGTCGCCGATCCCGTAATGTGGTGGCGAGATCCGACGGGGGTCTTCTCAGTGAGATCGGCGGCGGCGGCATTCTCGTGCGTCTCCGCCAGTTTGTACATCGCATGATGGTGGCGCTATGACCTCGAGGGGATCGATAGGAGTGCTTTTTTTGCGGGTGGCGTTGTGTCCTCGAGATCGCACGACAGCGGCACTGTGTCCTCGAGGGGATTGATAGGAGTGGTCTTTTTGCGGGGTGATTTTGTTGGGCTGCGTACGTGGGGTGGGGTGGGGGACGAAAAAATAGTCGAAAAAGCGGACGAAAGTGGTGGGGCGAAAAAAATCTGGACGCAATGCTACCAACTGCTCCATTAGAAGTAGAGATAATTTTTGCTCCCGCTGTAGTCCGTCTCGTTTGTTAAATTTACGGTCAAACTTGAATTTAGAAAAACACGAGCGCACTACATTGTGAAATGGAGGGATTAGTATTCAGCACTTGACGTGATGGGCAATCGGTGGCATTAGAGAATAGGTGCAACCATATTAAAGTTACACGGATCAGATCCATCTTTATATTTAATTTATAAGGATCAGTTCAATCTATATTTAAAATTATACGGATCAGATCTACCTATATTTTTAAGCTATACAGATCAGATCTACATATATTTTATACTCGTAAAACAAAGGATCTACAGAACCTATATTTTAGTTATAATATGGATCAGATTTACGAATATATAGTCCACATCATTTGTTGCTCAAAAGAGATTCCCTTCAGGTATTGAAGCTTAATAACAATGACATTATCCAGTCTTTATCTAACCAACTGGATTATACTATCCATGGTAATCAAACACTGTTTTTGAGCTCTCTCAGGGTTTGTGGCCTGAACTTTTTCCCAGATTCTCATAGTGACATCTTTCTACACAATCAGAAAACCTTGAACTCTGGCCAATAAACCCTGTTTGTAAAATGTAGCACATTCTAGACTTTTGTTATAAAAATTGCCAATTCGGACAGCCATGAACATAATCATAATCCTTTCAAAATCCAACTTCAACAAAATTCCTTCAACTGGTCAAAAAAATTCCTTTAGAGTGAGAGGTTTTCAACTTACGCAAAATTTCTATGTTTTAGCCTTTCAACTCAACCAGATTTACCTTTTTACTGAACTACATAAAGGGACATAAAGAAATAGTACAACAATTCTTTGCAATTTTACGCTTATGCCCCGGTGATGGGGCCTTATGGGGCAGGGATGAGCCCCTTGAACTTAAAACAAATTTCGGTTCTTTGTTTTGCTTTGCCTGAAGAGGGGCCTTATGGAGAAGGGCTGAGCCCCTTCAACTTAAAATAAATTTCGGTTCTTTGTTTTGCTTTGCCTGAAGAGGATCTACAATGTACTATATATACATTGTAAAACGGAGGAGTAGTACATTTTTTTTTGCAGTAACCTACATCAGAATAGGCTTCAACCGTCAATACCAGATTGAAAAGGCGTAATACTTCCCTGAAAAAATATCATAAATGATGTTGACCTCAAAAGACAAAACACACATATCATGTAACTTGTTCTCCAGATTTCATTGTATTACCAATCTCCTTATCCTCGAACATTTTGATCTTCAAAGAAATGGTAAACCAATACATTTGCCTCCTTATTATTTAGAAACACAGATTGATTTTTGTTCCCATCAATAAAAACATGAATACCTTTTTCTCATTGTTTTTCCTTCTCCAAGGCTAGATGCAGGATTAATGTATTTTTTCTTTAATCTAACTATATATTTTTGCTTTGCTTTGGGATTGCTCACCACGTGTGCCATGTGGTAATCTAGCTGTATTTCTGCAACGAGGAAAACATTAGTTCCGGTGAGGTGTGGCGACCGAATGCGTCAATGCGCAGCACCGGAGTGGGTTTCTCGGCCGGCGAGCCTACTTAATGGCGGCATACGAACGGACGGGGCATTGAACGGTCATGGTAAATATTCATCCCATCCCATCCAGTCACGCGAGTATGGTACTGAACAGGCGCGGATACCGGAGACGGGTCACGGAGGGCGCCCCACTTCAATGGCGGAATCAATGAGAGGTCGCGTCCACCAGGAACCATCTTCAATGTGGAGCGGCATGAATGCGGGCAGCTGGCGCCAGGAGGAAACACGCGCGGGTAAGGGAGGGGTCGTTTGGGTGGGCCATGATGGTCAGAAGCGGACTTGGGAGTGGTCCGGACTCTCATAAAGCCCCCACATTTTTCTTTTGTTTTCGATAGAAAATACATCCGGACCGTGCTGTGGACCGATACATGACCGCGTTGGATGGCTTTCGCGATCCGAACAATGTGGTCCAGACGCACGTGGAAGGTTTACGGATCAGCGTTGAAGATGCCATAAGGATTCAATATACTCTTAATCAGTTGGTGTCAGATGCATCATATGCGTATCGTTGGATGTGTAGCAGCTCTCTTAGTTAAAACGCTGCACAGGATCTAAAAGATTCCATTATCACGTGCTGACAGGGAGTGCGCACTACACTCTCTATTATTGTGCCAGATCCGGCGGAAATCCCTTTTGGAGCTCGGCCTCCAATGATGCCTCCAAATTTAAAATCCAAATTTCATCGAAATTCATATTTTTACATTTTAAAAAATTCTGAAAGAAAACATAGATATACATGAAGGCATAGCACACATGTGTGTAAATTTTTAGAGCAAAATATGTTAATATGAGGGCTATGCAAAAAAACAAATCTGATGTTGTTTAACATATGATACTATTCATCCTCTCTGGCAGTGGCGTAGACAGGCTGGCTCCATGCTCAGGGCCAACTTCAGTGTTACAGTTGCAAACAGTATCGAACAGCAACATTTTATGTACAGTTAACAAAGCAAACTACTGCCACGCCCCGGGCCAAGGCCCCTTGTTGCCCGGGGCCTGGCTACGCCACTGCTCTCAGGTCATGAATTTGTCTTTTTTTACAGGTTGCAACTCATGGTATTTCATCAAGAATTTTTATACACACGTGGGTTACATCCTTACATACAAGCATTTTTTTCCAGAATTTTTTGAATCATAAAAGTTTGAATTTGAATTTTTAAAAAATAAAGGCCACCATGGAGCTTGGCCTCCAAAACGCCTCTCTCTAGATTTGGGGACATCGATCACTGAATGCTTGAATATAGTATGTACTACATTTTGATAAGGAGGGAGTATGACTGTATGAGCCAGGGTTAGCCTCCAAAATTTCACGGAGTTTGTTGGGAATTTGAAAAATACAAGATGAAAACCACCGTAAGAAAAACAAAAAGGAAAGAAGGTTTTGCTCTGAGTCGACAAATGAACCCGAGTGACCAACTCTCCGGACGAGGGATCAGCACAACGGACTGGAGAAGTTTTCATTTTGTAACGGTGGCGATAGTTGTTGGACCTGGATCTGGTTGCGATGAGGATGATGATGATTTTAATTGATGGCAGTGGCACGCGCTGCACATGGGTTGTCCCCTGTCCGTTGAATGTCCCAATCCCAAAGGCGCCAAAACACCCATGAGGTAGGTAGGGCTAGCTAGCTAGCACATCCCTGTCGGAACCTACCTAACTGAAGAAATCAACGCCTTACTCTGTTTTCTCTCAAGAGAATCCCTTCGGCACCCCTCGCTTCGCTCATAACATGGATCTGCTACCGGTCATGGTTATCTCTATTCTATATAACACCCCCCCAAATGCCTTAGCTAAGGTCATCCCACACACCGCACACTCTTCCACCTCTCACTCTCAGTATGGCACAAGTTGAGTCTGAGACCAAAGGGAGCTCCACTAATGAGCCCGAGAGTAACACCGAAGCTCTCATAGCTACACTTCCCACAAGGGAAGGATGGTCGACGCCCCTCACCCTCTACAACAACTGCTGGCTGAGATCACACATGCTGAGAAGATTCATGGTCGTGAGAGACAACTTCAAGCCCCGGCGCGACGACATCATCCTGGCCACCCACCCCAAGAGCGGCACCACCTGGCTCAAGGCCCTCGCCTTCACCATCTCCACCCGCTCCCGCTGCGACTTCACCGACAGCCCTCTGCTCACAAACAACCCACAGCGGGTCGTGCCCTTCATTGGAGCCATGGGTGGAGACCTCGACGTCCTCGAGACGCTCCCTTCGCCGAGGCTGCTCGCCACCCACCTGCCTCCCTCGCTGCTCCCGCCGGCCGTCTCCACCGTCGGCTGCAGGGTCGTGTACCTCTGCCGCGAGCCCAAAGACGCCTTCGTGTCAAGGTGGCACTTCGACAACAAGATGGGAAAAGGCGGGGCTCCTATCACCCTGGGCGATGCCTTCAACATGTTCTGCGAAGGGGTCTCCCCATTCGGGCCCTTCTGGGACCATTATCTCCAGTACTGGAAAGAAAGCTTGGCGAGGCCGCAAGAGGTAATGTTTCTCAAGTATGAAGAGATTGTGTCGGATCCACTCACGGTTGTTAGAAAGCTCGCAAGCTTCCTCGATGTGCCCTTCACAGAAGAGGAGGAGAAGAGTGGGGTCGTCGATCAGGTTGTGAGCTTCTGCAGCTTCGAATCACTTCGCAACCTAGATGTTAACAAGACAGGCGGTGCGGAGCGTGCAGGTGGTAAGATTTTCATCCAGCACTCCTCACTGTTTAGGAAAGGGAAGGTCGGGGACTGGGTGAACCATATGAGCAATGAAATGGGAGAAAAAATGGATCGCCTGGTGGAGGAAAAGTTCAAAGGAACTGGTCTAGAGTTCTGAGATGCACTCTTGTCTTGCATCTATCAGTGGGAGTGCCTATAATATTGTATTGATGTATCATGAAGTCTATGTACACTGCAATAAAATTAAATAATCATGTTTATGGCGACATGGCCATTGTGAAAAGTTAGTTGCGATAAAGATCAGTTTGTGTTTTTTATAAAGAGCAATATACTAGTATTAAGATTTATTTATTTTGCAAAAAATATTGATATCAGGATGTTGCCAATTGCACGCAGAGTCTGCACACCAATACAATGTCATGGCCTAGTCCAAGCATACACACAACCAAAACTAATGAAAAGAAGAGGAAGAGAAAACAAAGAAAGGCATTACTCCAACTACTTGAACAAATCAGTACCGACTGTTGGAATTAGTGAGCTTCGCTCATGTTAATAACTTTCATATTCCAAATAAATCAAAACACTCGTGTATGGCACCGAGGTGGAGGTGCAATATTTTAGTCCGACGTCAGAAGTGGAGGTGGAGTGTAAACATGGGCGGTTTCAGGCCCCAGGCAGGCAGGGCCTTCGCCTGGGGCGTGCTGGAGAGATCCTTTCTCGACTCTAGCACAAATCGCACTGTAGATCACTGTAGCGCACTGTAGATACAAGGCTTGCCTGAGACGTCGTGTGATGCTGGCTCCGCTACCGAGTGTAAACATATACTCTATAGTAGAGTCTCCGCACTTCAATAAGTGGTGGGTATGAGGAGAGGGAAAAAAAACACGCCCGCTCGCCTGACCTGGCCCGGTTGGTGCCGGTGCGAAGGACGAGGGTATGCAGCAAGCATGTGGATGGTCTTCTGAAATTTGTTTCTTGCCTTGCAATAGCACAATTCTTTTTGTCGTTTCATTTTTTGGTTTCTTGGCCAGTAAATTGTTTAGAAGTTGGAAATCTAGTCAGTGTAGACTGTGATCGCGACACGAGAAGTCGAGAACATCCGGTTCTCCTATATATATGACATATCAGCCATCGCCAAAAGGTACATAAAATCAAGTTAGGTAGTTTATGTTGCCATCATGTCCACATCCGAAACGCTGGTGTGTCCACCCGTGAGCGGGAGAGCAACTCTTTGGAACCTCTTGCCTTTGCGATCTTGCATCAGAAAAGGATGAATTAGGTTTCTGGAAAGCGCTACGTGTAACTGCTCACTTTCATCACCACAGGTCGTTTTCCTTCCAAGTCAGGTGCCATCGTGTACCGTTGTATCCGCCGATGTTTCCTTCGACCGCTCTTTGCCACAATCATTGTCAACAAACATCACTTCACCGAAGAGGAGAAGAAGAGTGGGGTCGTCAATCAGGTTGTGTGCTTTTGCAGCTTCGAATCACTTCGCAACCAAAGCTATGTATGTTTGTCCAAAATGAACAACGTGCATGTGTTCGTATGAATTTGGTGTTTTGAAAATAGGGACCGTGGCTGCAAATGTCAAGTTTTGATATCCGCCCGGTCAGTGTCCACGGGCACGTCCGTGGGGGTATAGAGACTCGGATTACGTATATGTGGTTGTAAATTCTCTTAGTAGATGTGCTACATTTTGTGTGATACTAGATATTAAGTTGCATGCACCAACTAGTTCACCAAAACTACTCTTTCCAAAAAAAGAAATACTCCACATATTTGGTTGGTCTTAAGTCAAATAAGTTAGTGAAGTTTGATCAAATTTATATTAAAATGATCAACATCTACAACATAAAATAAATGCAATATGAAATTATACTTCATGACGGACACATGGTATTCATTGGTACCGTGAATGCTCTTTTTATATATATATATGTATATATATAATCTTGTCAAAATTTGCAAGGTTTGACTAAAGACAAACCTAATATGGGGAGTAAAAAATTGGATGGACTACTAATACTGATTAAAAGAAAATGTTGGCAATACATTGCAGAGATTTATTGGATATATTGACGGAAAACGACCAGAAAAGTAATTACGTGAACAGGTCAAAAGTCACCGAAAATTGAGCCCTGTCCCGCGCATTTTGTCAGCTACGATCCTGTCCAGACGGCTTGCCATTTCCGCGGTCATGTGGTTCACCCAATCACCGGACGCCCCATTCCTGAAGAGCGCATCACGCGGGACGGGGAGGAGGGGATCCAAATGCCCAATTTTGTTGGCGTCCAGGCCCTTGAGGTGATCGAAGCTGCAGAGCCGGACGATGCTGTCGACGGTGCCGGCGTCTTCCTCCGCTGCAGAGAATGGCATTCCCAGGAACCGCGCCAGCTTTCGGACCTTGTCGGCCGGGTCGCGGAGCAGCTCCTCGTACCGCAGAAAGAGCACCTTGTCCGGCATCGCCGTGCTCGCGCGCCAGTAGCCGAGAACGTGGTCCCAGACGGGGCCGAACGCCATCCTGCCGTCGCAGACGGACTCGAAGACGACGCTGAACGCCAGGTCCGGCTGCAGGCGGCGGAGGAAGTGCCACGCCGAGACGGCCATGTCCTTGGGCTCCCTGCATACGTACACGACCCGGCAGCCGGGCACGGCCGACGGCACCACCATCGGGAGCGGCATGTGCGTGTTCATGAGGCGCGGGGACGGGAGCGCCTCGAGCTCGGCCTCCCGGCCGCCCTGGAAGAGGCCCTCCAGGAAAGGGAGGCACTGGTGCGGGTTCAGGCGGCGGAGCGGGTGGTCGGCGCCGGCGGGAGGGTATGCCCTGCGTGCCATCGTCGCGAAGGTCAAGGCGTTGAGCCACGTGGTGCCGCACTTGGGAAAGCTGGCCACAATGACGTCGTCGTGGCGGGGCTGAAATCGCCGCTGGAGGGCGATGACCGCCGGGACGTGGATATCCCGTAGCCAGAAGCCCTGGTAAAGACGGAGCTTCTTGACACCGTTGGCCTCCAGCGCGCTCGGCAGGGTGGCGACAAGGTCGGCATGCTCTTCCTCGCGATGCTGCGACGAGGAGAGGAGGTTTGTGCCTATAACAACAAGGGCGTCCTCGAAAGGAACCGGCCCTTCTTCTGGAGTCGCCATGGAAGCCAAGGTCGGCATACTCTTCTTCTACTTGACTACTGCGGTGGAGTGGAACTGTAGAAGGACGCAGGGGAGGGGAGATTCGTTGAAAGGAGAGCGGCGCTGGAATGCTGGAGTCTGAGAGAGAGAGAGATCAGATCACAGAAAATAGGGCAGATATAGAAACGCACATCCAATACCATGCACGCCCCTCCACTTGCAGCCCACTCGATAAAATACAGTAGAAAATAGGGCAGACGACAATACACCATGCAGCCCACATATGTATATCCAAATGGATCCCACCCACGTTCCATCTCAGCATCTCTATGCCAGCTCCCATTTGTCAGCATTTTTCAATTCACTGCGTGTTTGGCGAGGGGAATTTTTATTTTTGGTAAAGGACGTTCTTCGTTATTACCATTAATGAAAGTGAATAGGTGGTACAGACACAACAAACGTACATCCGACTTCTATATGCCCCCCAACAAGCCCCCAAGGCTTTTTTTTTATAACCGGCGCTAAAAAAGACTCAGTCGCGCCCCTGAAACCCACTTTTTGCTAGTTAGAGCCGAATTTAACGCGAAAGCCTGGTGGACCCGCCGCATTTGTCATCCTCGTCGCCTCGGTTTCCCGCGGGGAATCAATGCCAAGACTGCCGCCGGTCAGCCTTCCATTGATTCTCACGGACGGCGCAGTGAAGTCGTGCCGACGCACGCCCAGCCCCGTCCCGCC